CAAGGAGCCCCCATAGCAGCGCCCCCCCCCCGCCCCAGGGCTCCTACCACAGGACAGGGCAGCCTGTGCCACCCCCCGGGGCACCTCCAGCTTCCGTTTTGGCACCTGCAAGTGGAAGCTCTGGCAGGGCCACTGGGAGGCCGTGATTGCAGTGGCTGCTGGGCTACAGTGGGGTGACCCCATCACCACCCTGCAGGAGGGGTCAGAGCCCCCCACACCCACCCCACTGGGTCCAGGGCTGCAGCTTTACCCGAGGGGACACTCCATCGCACTTGCTGTTTCCCTGGTCAGAAACACTTGGGAAGATTTTTAAACCATGCATTTCCCAGGGTAGTCTCTTCAACAAATGGTGTTAGAAAAACTGGATAAGCACACGTAGACACATGAGATTGGACCTCTATTTACACCTCTTACAAAAATTAAATCTAAAATAGAGTAGATTTAAACATAAGACCCGAGACCATGAAATTCCTAGAAGAAAATGTAGGGAAGACGCTCTTTGACACTGGTGTCAATCTCAAAAATAAAAGTTATTTTACCAGCAAAATGGGTTTATTCAGAGGAATTGGAATGGCTGAGGAATTGCAATTCGGGACATGTTAGCCATAGCAAACCGTAGGTAAGTCTGGAGAAAAAAGGAGAGGAATGTTACTTTGTAGAGAAAAAGGGTCAGTTGGGAGGGGCTGTTATAAACAAGTAGGGGCTCTGCATGAATTTGTGCACCTTGAAAGGAACTGTGGGCCACAAGGCTGCAGTGGGCACAGGGGTGGGTCTCAGCCCTTCCTGCGTGCCCCCGCCCAGCCCCTCCTGCCACAGCCCCTGGTCCCCTGTCTGCCAGCAGCCCCGTTCCCGCCACTGCTGCTCCCACACGCTGATGGCGCTGGCCCCGCTCACATCTGCTGACGATGCGGAGTGATTGGGGTTGGTGCCAGTAGCAGGTGCAAGCAGGGCCTGCACCGTCAGTGGGTGCGAGTGGCGGCTGCTGCACGGATCACCTCTCAGGAGCAAGGGGAGGTGGAGAAGCCCTGAGGGGCGATTGGGGCCGGCAGCTGCCGCTCACACCCACTGATGGTGCTGAGTGATCGGGCCTGGTGCCGAGTGATCGGGCCCAGTGCCGGGTGCCAGCAGCGGGTGCAAGCGCCAGGTGGCACCGTGGCACGTAGGAGCAAATAATTTTCAGTAACCACCAGAGGCTCACCCTGATGACAGCAACTGGCGCCCCACCTTGGTCTGGTGCCCCCACTCACCTGCTCCACCATCCTGCCGCGGCTGACGCCCACCATGTTCCACGCACGCCCCCTGGTGGTCAGTGCAATCATAGTGACCGATTGTTCAGTTGTTCTGGTTGTTCTGCTGTTTGGTCTATTTGCATATTAGCCTTTTATTATATAGGACTAGAAGCCTCATGCACGAAATTCATGCACTTCGGGGGGGGTTATTCCTCAGCCCAGCCTGTATCCTCTCCAATCTGGGATTCCTCGGGGGATGTCTGACTGTCGGTTTTGCCCCAATCCCTGCGGTATGGGCCTAAACTGGCAGTTGGACATCCCTCTCACAATCCAGGACTGCTGGCTCCTAACCACTCACCTGCCTGCCTGCCTGATTGCTCCTAACCACTTCTGCCTGCCAGCCTGATCACCCCCTAACCGCTCCCCTGCTGGCCTGATTGACACCTAACTGCTCTCCTGCCTACCCAATCGCCCCCAATTGCCCTCCCCTGCAGGCCTGGTCCCCCCCCACCCCAACTGCCATCCCCTGCTGGCCATCTTGTGACGACAAGGGGTGGCCATCTTGTGACACAAGGGCGTGAGGGTCAATTTGCATATTACCTCTTTATTATATAGGATGTCCATTGGAAGAAACTGGGAGTTCTAAAGTGTAGTAGCTTTCCATTGGCTGATTCATGGATGTTTCTCATTGGCTAGGTCTGTTGCTAAGCAAGGAGAAAATCTCCCCTCCTCCTACTAGAGTAGCAAGGTAGGCTTCTTTCTGTTGGAGTCTGCAAGGTGTGGTGAGTGGTAGTGCATGAGAGCCGGGCTTCCAACTCCGTTTTATTTTTATTTTTTTTATAAATAGAGCAGAATTCTTTGTTTTATTTTATTTTATTAATTTTTTTTTCAGAGAGGAAGGGAGAGGGATAGAGACAAGGGCATGTACCTTGGTTGTGGGCACATCCCCAGTTGGGGGTGTGCAGGAGGCAGCTGATCGATGTTTCTCTCTCATCAATGTTTCTAACTCTCTATCCCTCTCCTTTCCTCTCTGTAAAAAATCAATGAAGTATATTTTAAAATAAAATAAATGAGATTTCCTTTATTCCTTTTCACATTGGCCTTGGCAATGATATTTTTGATATGACACCAAAAGCACAAATAACAGAAGAAAAAAACCAACAAGTGGAATCACATCAAATGTAAAAGCTTCTGCCCTGCAAAAGAAACAATAGAAATACAAAGGCAAGCCCAGCCAATGGGGCTCAGTGGTTCAGCGTCAACCTATGAACCAGGAGATCTTGGTTCCATTCTCGGTCTGAGCACATGCCTGGGTTCTGGGCTTGACCCCCAGTAGGGGGCGTACAGGAGGCAGCCAATCAATGATTCTTTCTCATCAATAATGTCTCTATCTTTCCCTCTCCCTTCCTCTCTGAAATCAATAAAAATATATTTTTAAAAAATACAAAGATGCCCACCTGGCTTGGCTCAGTGGAGAGAGCATCAGCCTGTGGATGGAAGGGTCGCGGGTTCGATTCTGGTCAAGGGCACATACCTTGGTGGCAACCTTCATTGTGGGCTCCATTCACAGTACTGGCCTGTGTGTCCTGGAGGAAACCAATCAAGTCTCTCACATCCATGTTTCTCTCTCTCTCTGTCTCACCTCCTCCCTTCCACTCTCTCTCTCTCTTAAAAAAAAAAAAAAAAAAGGCAACCTACAGAGTAGGAGAGAATATTTGCAAACCATGTGTCAGATAAGAGGCTAATATCTAAAATTTATAAGTAACTCAAACAACCTCAATAAAAAAAACCCACCCAAACAATTCAATTAAAAAATGGGCAGAGGGACTAACTAGACATTTTTTTCCAAAGAAGACATCCAAATGGCCAACAGACACATAATGAAAAGGTGCTCAACATCCTAATCGTCAGAGAAATGCACATCAAAACCACAGCGAGATAGACCTCACACCTGTCAGAACGCCGTCACCCAGTAGACAAGAGGTAACAAGCGCTGGCCTGGGGGTAGAAGAAAGGGGACCGTTGTGCACTTAGTGGGACTGTAAACTGGCCCAACCATTTCGGAGAAGGGTTTAGACTACTTTTCTCCTGCTTTTCGGTGGTTTGTTTGTCCCCCAGGCGACTGCTCCCCACGTATCCCTCATGCAGAGGCTTGTGTCAGACGCTAGTAGGTGCTCAGTAAATGTGGGTGGATGGATGGGCGAGCGAAGGGGTGACAGATCCCTATCCTAGAAGCCTTGCTGGGAGGGCGGAGAGCTGGGGGTATGGAGTGCCTGCGTTTGCAGAGGCTTCGGGCTGAGAGCTGGTGGAACTTTCTCCAGACCACACCCACGTGCAGATATAGGTAAACAACACAGGTGGAATCATGCCAGTGGTGCCTGGAGGTGGGACATATGGAAGGAGCGGGAGAGACGGCAGGACCCGAGGTCCAGGGGCAAGGAGGAGGCGAGGGTCAGGGATGCAGTGGGTGCTGGGAGGCCAGGAGGCTGGAGGCATGGTCAGAGAATGGTCACCTGTGATGACAAAGTCCAGGGCGTGGCCATGGCGCCGGGTGGGGAGGGGTGAGGAGATACAGGAGGCCACGGGGCTGATGTGGGGGCAGCGGACTTTGATGCCCTGGAGGATGCGGTCCTGTAGAATTCATCGGGCGGGTGGCAGGAGATGTGTCCAGGAAGATGGCTGGGAGGCAGGTGGTGTGTCCTCAGGGCATGGGCTTAATGGAGCAGAGGCTGGGAGGCCGGGTCCATAGGCTCTGCACGAGAGTGAGGAAGACACCAAGAATGACCGCTTGCTCCTCCCTGGAGGGCACCCCTCTAAACCCATATTGGAAAGGGGCCCTGGGGCCTGGGTATAGACTAGCATCTCTGATCCGTAAAGGAC